AAAAAAAAAAAAAGTTTTACCATGATTGCACATAACTCAAAGAATTTTCATTAAAAACCAAACAATTTGTTAGTGAAAATTTGCTAAAAATATAAGTGAAAGCAACCTAAAAGCTTAAGCACAGATATAAAAGGACGGACACAAAGTCAGCGGAAAGCTTTAAAACTCAAACAGCAATAGTATCATAATATAAAATATATAGCTAGTTTTTCCAATAAGGATGCAGTTGTTAGGGTTAAAAAATATTTTTATATTTATTTGTGTATTTTTTTGTTTTGGTTTTTGGTTATTAAATACAGTCAAAAAGCGCTGCGCACATATATGCAAATAAGAGCTTACCTTTTGTGGCAAAAACTGTTCTTTTTTTGCCTAAAATTTCCTAAATTATACTCCGAATAAAAATTTTTAGTTACAGATGTTATTTTTTTGAAATGTTATACATAGACATAGATAAATGCATATTTTTTATATGTACAATTTATGCGCTAAGCAAATGATAGGCGGTTGGTTTTTATTGCAGTAAGTAAATAAGTACATAGTTATTAATTTGTTAGACAACCCCCTTAAAGTTTAAATGTTAACCGTTAGGCTAGTGTGTTTTAATTTGTGGTTGTGTTTGTGTTCGAATGACATTTTGGCGTAAGTTTCCTATGCTAACTGCTTTCCGGTTTTTCTTCCTTTTTTACTAGCTAATTATTGTACTTGTATTTTTTTGTAACTAATTTTTTCTGTGCGGATTTTTTTATTTATTTATTTTAATTTTGCACAGAGCTTTCTGCTATTCTACTTTTAATTTGTTTAGCTTCCTTATCTTCTTATTCTTTTTCTTATTCTCTATTCACCTTTCTTTTTCACCTAACAGTGGATTGTGTTAATTGTAATTTTCTGTTCCTATTATCCCCCCTTCAACTCACCTGTTGTACATCAGCACATCCGGCTTCCACAGCTTATTCGGTGTTATCCGCAGATCTTTCACGCCTCCATATTCAGTTTCATTCCATCGTAGATTATAGTCATTCCATTCCTTTTGGTGTTTTCATTATGAGTTCATGCGCATATTTTTGGTTTTGTGTTTGACAAGATGAGAGGAAAGAATTTGCGGTTAGTAAAATATGGTAATTAAAATATTTTCATAATAAACTATTGTAAAAACTTTATAAATAAAATAAAAATCCTACTTCATATAAATAAGTATGTAGCTTACTAGGCGCTATAAGATTTCTTGTTAAATTGCTTTTATAAACCTGTTTTCGATTTAAAGAGAAAAATAACGCTAAAAGCTTAAATAAGTTGCCTTATTTTTTCTCTATTTATTTAAGATTAAAATCACATACTGATTAAAGGTTTAGATAAATGACATCAATTAGTCAAAAAATTTATCTACTAAGACGACTCTGGATTTACAACCCTTAATTCGGTTACAAATCTTTGTTGATCTATGTTTAATTTAGAAATCTAGAAGTAAATGCTTCAATACCTTGCAATGAGTAGTAGGAAAGATTATGGCCACCTAAAAACGGCATGTATTCCTGTAAGAATTGCTGTGGTCCGCTTCTCTTCAAGAAAAACTTCGGCACGATGTTTCAACCGAGAAAGAATTTGGAATGAGCCTATTTTTACTGAACGCTTCGAAGTATTTATTTTAACGGTCGGCCCAAAAAAAGAATTGTGGCATAGGGGTGGGAATTTTTTAAACCGACCTCCAAATCGAAGAGTCTATTCGATTACCCGATTCGGCCAGTGTTTTTCCAGCAGAGGTGTTTGCCATCAAAGAGGCGTGCAAAATAGTTAGGCAGCGATCAAGGCACTTGGCTCTATAAGCACCACCGCCAGCATAATAAAACAGTACAGACAGAACGTTATGGCTTTAGCTGACAGGCTTTCGGTGTCGAGTCATAGCAGAGTTCATGGCAATGGCATGGTCGACGTACTAGCCAGGAACGGGTCAGCTCTGGATGTCTCAGAGGCAGAGGAGGTTCTTGTGCCTTTGAGCTATACCACTCGGCACTGGAAAAAAGGTGGCTAATAGTAGCAGGAAAGACCTACATATCTGCGATATATTATATATAGGTTGGTTCTAGACCTTCGTCTGGGATACAACTACCGCGATTTATCGCCATTTCGATGCACTACTCTAGGGAATTGTTTAATTTCTGTACATATTCCGGTACCATCTCGTAAGCGATGTTTCGGGACTGAAGACTTTGGCCTATGTTTTACAGTTGCAGCGGAACTGGTTATTTTTTTTTGCTCATTCCTATCACAGACCAGGTTTTAGGAGGCTCAGTCTGGTAATCCAATACGATTCTGCCCAACACCACCTCAGCTGATTTTACTTAGCTGGCATTATGCCCGAAATGCATTTCTTTCCAGTAACCTAAAGTCCGAGGGCTGATTGTGCTGTTACAAAAAATATTTATAAGTAGTAAACACGAGCAGAGCGTTCAGAAATTCCCTTGGGCAGCATTTCGATGCATCCTTTGCGCTTTCAGCAGCTAGGAATGTAATCCTTACCTAAATCTGACTATTATAACAGAGCTCCGTACATCCAGTGTCAAATTTTTGACTTCAATCCATACCCATCTGTCTTCTAGCATTCTTTTGGTTTTCTTCGGATTCACTTTAAACGAACTTACTTTTTTAGAGTATCCTCCATAATTTTGCTTAAAACCGAAGGAAATTGATCAGATACGAGTTTCGCTAAACCGCAGCCTCAATTCTCTGAGAGTCTCGGTTTGCTTTCCGTTTGTTTAAGACCACAAACCATAGTAACCATAGTAACGATGAAAGCACTCCTCCTTGCTGGGGACCCTTCACTGGATATACGGACTTGCCGTGGGAACCTAATGCGGCATGAATTACTGTGCCCCTAAAAATAAATACAATTTACTACCGGATGCAGCGATACAGCCCTCTTATGTAAGTGCTTCCTGGAGGGAATCGACACCCAAACTGTTTGCGGTGAAGCGAGCGCTCCATCCTGCAAATACTTTTATGAAGAGCGGCCTCCGTGACTCCCCTCTTAGGTGGAGATTTTAAAAGACATTCGGATTATTGATCCCCAATTTTTAACAGAAGCTTGACGATGTTACCCCGTCTTAGGAATATAAATTACGTAAATCTTCCTACAGCTTAGAGCTACATCGGGTGGCTTGTGTAGCCCTATCGAATTGAGAAACAAAGGAAATGCTGATTTGAATTGCTTTAAATTCTAGATTTAGTTTTGAAAACATTTTAAAAGAAATCTTATGCCATATAAAATATACGGAATAATTTCCAGTTATTATTACTGATATATACTACTTTTATGAATTTGTACTCTTATAAATAAAAACACGTAAAACTAAAATCTGACTTATGCTCTAAATAATAAATTTTACTACTACTTAGATATATGTATATATATATGGAGGTAATTATTAATAAATATGTAAAAAATGAAATTGTGACCATCTAGCATATGAAAATATATACATATATAGATATGACTGTTATTTAGCGAAAATAAATTCTGAAATAGTCATTAAAAAATTAAAGGAAATATAAAGAAATTTTTACAAAAGTCAGTCGAAATGCGGCAGACAAAAATTTGTACAAAATTGTTAAAAAGTCTTTTACAGATAGAAAAATTGTATACGACTCACGAAATGATTATTTTGCAGTTTTGTTTTGAAATTAAAAAAAAATAATAGGATCAGCGCATACAAGCAAAAAGTAAGAAAAAAGTTTTAATAATAGGCGTTAAAATTTTTTTTTTTTTTAAATAGAATTTACAGCCCTATTCCAAAGCAATACAGAATTAATCTCATTACAGTTGTGATAACTATTGCGTTCAAAACTATGCCCAATGAATTAAATTTGAAGCGCCAGACAGCCCTAGCTCCAAGCCTATGCCAAAACTCATCACATGACAATTTTCTGAATGCTGCGCCCTCAAACTGTGCCGCAAAAATGAGAATTGTCATCGACAGACGAATGGAACTGTGAGAAAAGATGGGTAGATTCTTTTGATATATGCAGTTTTCATTTTTAGTAGCACAGTTGTTATGGCATATTTTTAGGCTCAGTTATTATCCCAACAGAGATGAGTTGAATTTTGAAATGTGTTGGAATACGGCTGTTAGTAACACTTATTGCTTCATGCAAGAACAAAAGTAAGTTAGAAATGCCTAAAAGTATGCAATATGTACGATAAAACAAAAATATTAAATAATTTTGCTTGCAATAAGTAACAAAATAGCTTAATAATAATAATACAAAATATTTTGCTAGCATAACTTGGCTAAATACGAAAAATTACGATTCACTCAACTTAAAACATTAGTTTGTGCTGAGCATGGTTAGTTTACAGAATACATTGCTGAGTGGAGTCAAGGAGGGAATAAGGAATATGTGTATACATTGTAAAGGTTGCCAAAGAAGCCAGGAGTCTAAAATAGAAAAAAAAAAAATAATAATAATTAAAATACTAGTAAGTTATGACCACTGTGACCATGGCCATATGAATCAAAATTTCAAACATTATTGAAAATTAAAAAGAATTCAAAAATCCCAAAAAATTTCATCAAAATTTCAAACNATCAAAATTTCAAACATTATTGAAAATTAAAAAGAATTCAAAAATCCCCAAAAATTTCATCAAAATTTCAAACTTTTTAATCTGAATTTTTAGAAAATTTAAGCGTATGCAGTTTTATAGCCTCAAATTTGAGTTAACTTGTAATAAAGTTTGATATCTAAACATCTTCGCTCTCGATATGGATATAATTTGCCTTAACCCAGCAGAAAATTTGTAACTGCTTCTGGTGCAACCCAGCAGAACATCTGTAACTGCTTCTTGCGTAGACAAATGAATAACTGTGGAGTAGTTCAGTGGTATACCAGGGCCATTTCGGGACCTGGTTAGGACTATTTCAGACCATTTCGGAGCTATTTCGAGACAGTTTCTGGAATAGTTCAGTGCATTTGAGACTAGTTCAGGCCAACTTAAAATTTATTTGGGGACTAGTTCGAGTTATTTTTCGGGACCTGTTCACGATTATTTCAGGCCCTTTTCAAAGCTTTTGAGACTAGTTTAGGACTATTTAAAGTATATTTCGGGGCTAGTTTGAATTCGTTTCGGGGTCAGCTCAGGCCCATTTCCGGACTGGATCAGCCATATTTCAGGACCATTTAGGGATAGTTCGCGGCTGTTTCAGGACTACTTCTGGATTAGTTTGGCATCATTTTGGGACAAGTAACGGACCTTTTCAAATCTTCTTACAGATGCTTTCGGGATAAGTTCCACGACTTTTTAAGAACCACTTTGTGCGGTATCACTCCAAACTATTACCGACTTATCTTTATAATGGAAGAAAATGAAAACGACCGCTCATAAAAAAATTCCAAAAAAAAAATGCGAGTTTTTATAAATTTCACTTGTTATAGAAAAGAGGGCAAAAGACTGGCAGTCAGAAAAAGTTGTAAAAATTTGCACGAATACATAGCTTATTAAAAAATATGGAATAAATTAAAAATTTTAAAGGCTACAAAACTGCGAAAATTTTCTCCCAGCTCAGATTAAATTGAAATTTTAGGATATTTTGTTGAAATTTGGTGAATAGTTTGAAACGTTGATAATTTACATATGTATATAGTTTTGTTTTCATGTAACATGAAAAATATTTGTATAAAAATTGTAAAAAGTAAAAATAAAATACTTTTAACTTTAAAAAATTACCATGCGAACGATTGTTTAAGTTATTGTGTTTAAATTGAAAAGATAAGTTAGCCAAAGAAGCTTTGCATACAGAAAACATTTTTTTTGTTTTACAACAGCATGTGATAGTAAGTTGAAAATCTAAACTAGAAAAAATACATGTAAAGTCATAGATTATTAGAATATAAGTATTTGTATCTATTACATTGAAAAAATAGATAAATAGATTCCAATAAAAATGTGCTCAGAAATTTATAGTTGATTAGTAAAAACTAAAAAAATCGTTTTTAGAGAGTTTTATTTAACTTTTAATAATAGTAAATTTT